CCCCCCCCCCCATTTTAGTAGCCAATGTCTAAATTGCCCATCCCTATTAACCCTGTGTACAAAGATCTCCCCTTTTCTTGCCTTTTGCATTTTGGTGTTAGTATTAGTCCGTTATGGCCACAGTAATGCTGTGTAACAAACAAACCAGTCCAAATTTCAGTGGTTTGTTTACAGCACCAAGCATATATATTGTTCTCACTCATGAGTCTGCAGGTTAGCTAACATCAATCTGTTTCAGGCAACAGGCTACAGTCTGAACTCAGGTTTGCTCCTTGTCTCTCATTCTCCTGGGATGGGTAGTTCTGAAAGCCATGTTCTGTGTCAAATGGCAAAAGAACAACAGTGGTGAGTGAAAATACATACACACTGCCTCTTGAGGACTCAACCACTTATTGGCTCACTGTTATTTCCACCTGAGCCAAATCAAGTCACATGGGCAAGCCCAACATCAGTAGGGTAAGGAAATATAATCTGGCCACAGCAATGGTTAATAATCTAAAACCACGTGGTACAAGGTCCATAGTCCTAATACAGGGAGGAGGTAATGAATTCGGAACAATAATTCAATTCATCACAATCATCCATCTTCAACAGCTCTTCTGAGACAGACAGGGTTAGGAGGCCATTGGTTGTGTTACTTTACAAGTAGAGAAAAAACAAAACACCTTCCCCTTTAGTCTTCTCCAACTCCTGAGATTAACTTGTAGTCCACCTTTACTATGACTGGAATGCTGTTCACTGGATCCCTCAATGGGGCTTTGGAGAGATAAAAGGATGCTGCTGCAAGACTACCCAAGTCCTCCAAACCTAACATCCTCTGGATTCTCGTGCTCTGGATTAATGAATGCATGGACATGTTCTCACTTTCCATGTTTGATCTTTTCAAATTCCTATTCTGCTTTATCATTTTCCATAAATATTCCAACCAGATGTGCCTTTCTCCTAGATTAAATAGGCTTTTAAAAGTTACAGATGTTTCCTATTCAGTCAAATAGGATTCAGATTTAGGGGAGGAGTAAAGGCAAGGAAGAGGCAGAAGTACGTATTTAACACATTTTTTTAACAGACAAGGTACAAAATCTACATATTTAGGGGGAAGTCTTTTAAAGCAGATGAAAAAGAAAAGCTCAGAAATCATTGCCAAACAAACAGCATCCATCAAACATGGCTTCGATTTATTCTGAGAGATGGTGTTCACCCTACCACTGAGCACTTAACTGAATCCACTTAAGTGGAAGGAATCCATTTAGCCCTGTGACAGGCAAGAGCAGTTAACTGTGAAGTTGGCAGCTTCCATCCCTCACGCAGGAGTCTGTGGTCTGACATTATAACATTAGCTCCATAGCAGTTTCTCCCAGTGATGACAGGAAATGAGAGACAAGTTCAGGACAGGCTTCAAGGCACCACTGATGACTGGTGCCTCATGTCACACAGCTGAACATTAATAGTTGGCACCAAAAAAACAGAAGGTGGCACATAACATCTGATGCTTAAGGTCACTGCCAGTTCACTTTTGCAGTGCAGTGAATCGCTTTACTATGGCCCTTTTACTCAGGGTCTTGTGACGCTAACAAAATAATTGGGTGGAACTATGCAAATAAGGTGCTTGTGGCCCACCAAAGGAACTGGCCAGTTTTTCTAATGCAAATAAGGTGCATGGAACCCTTGTAAGATATTGGTTAGTCTGTGGTTTTATTGGAGGGGAAGGAGCCACACCTTGAAATTATTAAGAAACTTGCTATATAACCAGTTTCTCTTGACAGAGGTTTTAGGGAGAGACAAAGAGAGAGAAAGAAGAAAGGACAGTAATGCTGAAGACCATGAGGCATGGCGTGGTAAGAGCAGCAGCAGCACAAGATGGCAGCTGTGGGCTTCCCAGCCCACAAGGCATAGCGTCAGTAAGACCTGACCAAGACCTGGTGGCAGCGGGGGAAAAGCAACTATCCTGATTGAAGAACTGTGTCCTGAGTTGTTCCTGTTACTGCCAAGTTGACTCTGGTTGAACTTTAGCCTGTTTTTTAAAAAAATTAAAATGAGAACCAAACCCACTGCTTACAATATGCAGATGATATAATTTTACAACAATGGAGTATATTAGGAAAATCTGCAGTACAAAACCTTTTTTTAAAAAAAATTTAAAGGAAAAAAAAACCTCCTTAAAGTGTTCAAAAGCAAAAGTGTCAGATTGAGGATTAAGGTGCACCTAATCCAAGCCATGGTATTTTCAATAGCTTCATATACTTGTGAAAGTTGGACAATGAATAAGGAAGACCATAGAAGAACTGATGTATTTAAGTTATAGTGTTGGAAAAGAATATTGGAAGTACCATGGATTGCCAGAAGAACAAACAAATCTGTGTTGGAAGTACAGCCAGAATGCTCCTTAGAAGCAAGAATGGTGAGACTTTGTCTTTCATACATTGGACATGTTGTCAGGAAGGACCAGTCCCTAGAGAAGGACATCATGCTTGGTAAAGTGGAAAGGGAAAAAGAGATGGATTGGCACAGTGGCAGCAGCAGTGGACTCAAGCATAATAAGGATTGTGAGGTTGGAGCAGGACTGGGCAGTGTCTTGTTCTGTTGTACATAGGGTCACTTTGAGTCCGAACTGACTCAATGACGCCTAACAACAATAGCATGTACATATGTACATACACACATGTTGTTGTTGTTGTTAAGTGCCACCAAGTTGGTTCCGACCCATAGTCACCCTGTATAGGGTTTCTGAGTAGCAGTTGGTAAGCTTGAACCACCGGCTCTGCAGTTTAAACAGCTTTTCAGTCTGGCACATTAACCCACAGCACCACATCAGGTCACCTACGTGCATGTACATGTGTTTATATATACATATATAGAGAGAATTTTTTTTCCTTAAAATAAAATCACCTGCAACTAAGAAAAAAAAAAAACCATGGCCATATATACTGGGTTTTGTCAGAAGTCTTTTTTGTCTTGTTTTTTAATTAAATTTTACTGTTGTTGTTGGAAATATACACATTCAAAAAAGGCAAGGGGAAAGGAGGGTCAGACTCAGACTCAGTCCAAAGTTGATTCCTATGAAGTGACAATCATACAAGTGTCCACATTTCAACCTTCTTTACCCTATTCTGACACTGAAAGTGGGCACTGAGAACCCCCAAGCTGTTAAAAGGAGTTTTAGCCTGGCCAAAGCAAAATAATAGTAGAAGGCCCAAATGGCCATCTCACCATCATAATACAATACTTTTCTTTAAAAGCAATCACTGATTTTTCTTTAATTACTAGGCAAACCCTACCCCAGGATGATGGCAGGAACCGGAAACTACCATATCTTTGATGGCTACTGGTAACCACCACCTGAAGAGATCAATGGTTCCGATGGAGACAACTTGACTAGGACAATCAAGATGTCCTTGAATAAACAGACATGGAGAGTTCTGAAATCCCTGGACCAGAGGGGATGCAGGGAGCTTACCTCCTACCAGAAATCCCTATAAAAACTCCCCTCTCCTTTTGCTTGGGGAAACTGAGTTGGGGGATTTTCTATACTCTGTTCTCCTGAGTATTGGTACTGAATCAATGCTTTGCTCTGAGTTCTGGCTCTTATCAGCAGCAGGTAATAATGAGCCGTTTTTTCTGGTAGCAACACCAACAGTCCCTCCCACAGCCCTCTCTGCTTCACATCTGGGTTCAATAATCCATTGCAATAGCCACACAAATTAACAGACAAAACTCATGATTATGAGTTTATTAGGGAAGTAAACAGGGTACGATACAAGATCAGAAATAACCCAGGATGCAGCAGTTCTCAATTGTTCTGCAGGCAAACCTTGCTCTTGTCTTCAGCCTCTCAGCCATGTGACCCCTGGGCCTCTGCCCTGCTTGGGCAAGTGTTACAAAACGCCTTTAGCCAGTGTAAATGCCCAAAGGGCACATTCTGCAAGCTGGCCTTCTGCACATAGGCACTCAGCTCTACTTGTTCCATGGGCCGGGAAATCTGCAGCTGCTCTGTCTCTCCAGGCTGCTGTCGCCGCCTCTCCAGGGAGGGATCTCATGCTCTGCTCACGATTGTTCTTCTTGATGATCCTGGCATTGTCTGTTCCTGCATCTTTTTAAGCCTTGCAGGGTGGCAAAACTAACCACTCCTGGTGTTAGAGTGCTGCATGGTCCCACCCAATCATTGGAGTTCTGCTGTGGTGCTGCTGGACTACTAACCACAACGTTGGTGGTTCAAACCGACCAGTCACTCCTAGGACATCCTATACAAGGTTGCTACGAGTCTGAACCAACTGGACAGCATTTAACAACAACAATATGACTTTGGATTAAAAATGTGGTTATGAGTCAGACTGCTAAACTCAAGGTCATCAGTTCAAAACTATCAGCTGTTCTATGAGAGAAAGATGAGGCTTTCTGCTCCCATAAAGATTTACAACCTCGGAAACCCTATGCAGGGTTGTTATGAGTCAGAGCCAACTCCACGGCATACCACCACATGACCACACACAGCAAAACACACCGATTCAACAGTTTCTACATATATAATTCAATGATATGGTTTGTGCAACTATTCTCAGCCTCCTTTTTTTTTTTTTTTAAGTTTTTATTGTGAATTATGTGTTAGTTTACCTGGGTGCACATTATCTTTACATTCATCCTATTGTATTTTGTTTCATTGCAATGATCACAGTCCCCTGCATGCATCATTAAACAACCAAAGGGTACGCCCCACACACCTGCTCCCCCCACCCCCGCCGCCAGCCCACAGCCCCTCTCCCTCCCTGACTCCAGAGTCCCTAGCCGCTCCTTTTGTCTACTTCATCATCTCTGCCTCCATCCCTAATGTCACTGCCTCTTGGACAGGGTCTCTCACTTTGCTTTTCCTCCTTGATGGTTCCAGGGATCTCCCCTCCTGGACTGCAAAATCAGCCACTCCCCTCCTTTTGTTATACTACGTTTACATTGACTTTTCCAACACTCACTGTCAGACCTGATAGTAATCATTCCCTATTGAACCACAGGAGTCCTATCCCCCTCACCTTTTAGCAACCCTATCCAGACAGGTTAGAAACAATTCAGTGGAGATTCTACCTTTCCCTGTACCCTCTGGAACTAGGTTCCCTATTGAAAGCTTGTAAGCCAGTCACTTCTTGCCTTTGTAGTCCCCCCATTTTGGGTAGCCAATGTCTGAGTTCCCCATCCCTGTTGACCCTCTGTACCATGGGGGCAGGGATGATCCTCAATGTAGAGATTTGTCTGCTCCTTTTCCATACTGCATCCACAAACGTAGATCTAGTTCATCCACTTGTAGTGGGTTACTCTCTTTTTAAATTTTTGTTCCTCTTCTTTCTTCCTCTAGTTATGTTCTGATCATCCAGCCATTGATGGCAGATCAAATGGTTACTATCTGCAAGTGTGGGTGTTCTTGTGCATCTCTCCTCACTTCATAACAGCTGGATGCTTCACACCCTGCTCTAGTCCTCTGGGGC